CACACTCACCAGCAGGGATAGGCAGTATTTCAAATACAAGTATATGAAATACGTATTTAAAATGCTTTGTGTATTTTGATATTGTATTTAATTACAAATTGGGTAATGCAGTAGACCCTTTCCGAAATTCAGTGCCATCTGGTGGCTGAAATGGCGGTTTAAGTTTTGCCATACGAATGGTGGCAATGAACCCGTAGCGTGCAGTATTTTATCGGGCACTGCCACTTATGCATGTCAACGGCAGACGAGAATAAACTCTTCACTATACAGGTATTTCTGGATCGTCTCTTCAAGTGTCGATTCCCATAAAGATGCAACCAGTCAGAACGAAGCGCCAGCCCAGACAGACGCCTTGATAAAGTTCTATAAGTCAATGGGTTTTGAAGTCGATTATGTCCCACTAACAGGTTCACTGGGCCCGAATTAGAGAAATGAACGCTTACGCAGCGCTTGCATTCAATTCCGGCTTCGCAACCTGCTAACGTCTAGAATGTATAGGCTTCGAATCCCCAGCTTAGGAGTATCTTCAACATGTTTCTTCATCAGTAAATAGAAAGACGCCATTGGTATGGCACATATGCCATTTTTCAGATGATGATGATAGTGATCAAGGTGGCCAGAATGAATTTCGGAAAGGGTCTATTGGCGTGTGCATTTATATAATAAAACGTGGGTATTTCAAATACAATTGTAATTAAATACAATTTTGTGGGCGAAAATACATCCCTCAAATTTATTGTCACTGTCCACAGCAGGAAGAAAACTACGTTCTGCACCGAATGCAGTGTTTCTCAATCAAGCACAGGCGTTTAGTGACTTTGTGATTACGGTGCAAGTCCAGGGCAAGAATAGTCACGAAATCGACCTTCCCAGGCAGACTGGCTAAATAAGTGTCTGTGACAACTTGTGATGCTTTCCAGCCTGATTTCTATCCGTATTTTTGCCTGGAACATTCTAAATCCGCGGGTCGTCCAGATTTTGTAACTGGTGCGAGTTGCAACAATAAAAAATTCTCTAGCTAGTGCTGTGCGTCTTGGTCGTCTCGGTTCTTTGTTGGTCTATACCAAAATGTAATCGACAAAAAAGCTACTTGAAGCTCTGTACTTTTTTCACCTATTACGTCCAAGCTCGTTGCATTTTTTTGTGATTATATTTCTGTTACCTTACTAGAGCATCGCATATTAACTCCCGAGTGTGCAATGTAAAATAAAATCAGACGCCCGAAAACCCGTTGCAGGTGCCCTGAAGTCGCTGACGCAAATTTTGAGGAATGTATTTGGAAAAGTATTTGGAGGAGACCAAATACATTTGGATGTATTTGTATCTTGTACTTAAAAGCTTTTTTTGGAAATGTAATTAGATTTGTAATTAAATACATTTTTGACGAAGTATTTTGTATTTGTATTTCGGTACATATGTGCATGTATTTTGCCCATCCCTGCTCACCAGCGTCAGCGAGCAGGCGCGCGGGAATTCCAGGAAGATCTATCCCCGTCTCTTTCGCCATCTGGCGACTATCGCCCCGCCATCTACGGGGCGTTGGAGTTGCGAATAGCCGCAGTGGCTAATGTGGGGCCAATTACAAAATGTTTTGCAATGCGGTACATATGTAGAAAAAATTGCAACAAGAAATTCTGGATTTTATTACGGAAAGGTGTGTATTCAACACACTTGTGTATTAAAAATATATTTCATTAACGTTGTCAAAAAGTAAGAGGTCTCCCTCAGATCAGTTGGTATTGCCTGCATTCCAAATTAATGCACCACTAAATTCAATTAGTCGTTGACCGTAATTATTTTTACATAATGGTGAGTTAAAATTGGGTCTAACTGCAGCCCTATTAGCCCCGAGAGCGAACACAAGCGTCGCTGCGGTCACCGCGCCCTGATTGGGTGAGGTGTACCGTGACGTCAGGGGGAGGACTCCGCTCCGCGATCTCGCATCGGCTCGCTTCCCAGCACCGGTTTCCTGGTTTGGCGTTGTGTGCCGCAAGCTCTTCGAGGAGCTGGACTTCGTTTACCCGGTGTACAAGACGTTGAGTTAGGCCGATATTGACGTGCTTCCGTACATTTTATAAGCCTACGTGTCCCTTTTACCTTTAAAATTGGGTTACAAATCCCGAAAGCTATCAGCGGAGGCAATTCCGCCGATGTACCTTCTCGTCCGTCCACAAGGCAATCTTGCGAGGGGTCGGTGAAGCGGTGGCGCAAGTGTTTCAGACGCTGTAATTCAGTTTCTTGCCTGTTCATGATTTAGGACGAAATTACATCCCGCTTTCAAGTCATTTGAAGTGGCATTTATATCATGGACCTTTGGGTGGTCAGACAATTAGCTCGCGACCCCAACTCTGCGCTGTCACTCTGCATGCGCTTGTTCGCAGATGTTTTAAAGGCCCTGCGTCTGATGATCTTTGAAGTGCTCGTGGAACAGGGTTGTTTTACATAAATGTTGCTTCTTCGTGAATTAATTATATTGTTTATACACGTATGCAGGCGCATTTATTAGAGGATTCACAATTACTGGAAATTAGTTTGTATGGTAGCAGCGATAACGGCCGAATTGCCCCCAGTTGCCTGTATGATATGTATTGAACTGCCAAAATATGCACAGCAATAGTGCCGTAATTTGTAATGTTTATACTTTTTTCTGACATCCTTTGTTCCAGCCTTGGATATTCAAAAAATACACCGTTTAGACTGAATTGTCATACCCAATTGAAAGAGACACTGCTGCAGGTCCCCAAAAGCTTCCTCAGCCTCCAAGATTCCTACAGCTAGATTCCCTGACAACAGAGGAAAACAGGAGTAAAAGCAGGCATTCGAACGTCTGTCCAGTGGTAGACGCAGCACTAGTAGCAGAAAATGTGGAACATGTGAAGGGCGACAGTCTGCGTGAGAAATGCTTCTGGTATTTTCGCTTCAGGACAATTCGATTTAAGTAAAATCTCAGTTTTAGGGCTCAAGGGACTAATAACGAGCGAGACACCTTTGCTTACGGTTGTTATACATTACTTGAGGGTTGATATAAATAAGTCCACAGATACCACCCGTGTAGCTAGTCCACTGAAATAATATCCTAATCCAGCAAAGGTAAAATTTGAGCAATGTATATAATAAATGGTCCTTGTTTCTTTACTTTGCCCCTGCACTTGGGCTGTCTTACTTGTGATTCTCTCCCCATGGCCCAGACTGTATTTAGCATGTTGCTCGGGCAGCATGCAGTTTTTCTGCTTCGGCGATCTTGTTTAAAAAAACAGAGATACAAAAAATAGTATACATAATCTGCCAATTCATCCAGACCATCAACAGTATTTATTGTGCGAGATGTAAATCTATAATGATACTCCTGCAATTGTGGCCATATTTCTTTATTTTCATATACCAGCTATGATATATTCGTTGCCTGCCCTGTCAACCATGCTTGAAATGTTGGTTGAAGATTTGCCTTTAGCTACAGGCCATACCTCAATAAAGGCACATATCAAAAGTTACGCTTCCTACGAAAAATATGTGAAAAAAAAATTAAATAGAAACGAGCGCGCCGACAACTAGCGTCGTCACAGCCTCCACAGGGCGAGCGGGGCGAGTCGGGGAAAAATTCTCTCCTCGCCGTGACGTCACCCCGGTTCGCCGTAAGGGGGCGCCACGCGAACTTCTCGGGGCTAATATGCCTTGTAGGAGATTTAGACAAACTTAATAGAGGGAACTAATTTATTTTCGTGTAATTGCCTGTACAATTTGGGTGTTTTTCAGTTTGAATACTGGGCTTGCAGGTCACACTTACATTGGTTGATATAAAGTCCGCTTGAGTCGGTTAGTCCTGCAAATGTGATAGTTCTTAGCGCCCGTTTGTGCAATCTACTAATTGGATCTAGGTATGTAGTATAGTACATGTACCTCCCCAGGACTCCATGTCATATTAAAGCAGAGTGGATAAATCAAAACATTCACGCACCTTTAATAAAGCGTATCATTCATACGCAAGCCTTGAGCAGACATCATTCATTTGACTTGTCCATTGCAAATCTAAATAAAAAAGAACACCTGTAAAAGAAACCTGCTGCAACTCTGTGCTATATAGGCGTATTGCTAGTTCGCCATATGCATAATTTATTTGTCCAAAATTGAGTTATTGTCTACTCAGTCTTCTTTATGTTAAGGGTGAGTTGATTGTTTGTTAGCCATTCTAGTACCCTAGACAATTCCTCACTCACTTTACACGTACTGCGTCAAGATATTTCCCAATAAAAGTTAGCCATCTTTGCTTCGTTGCCCCTCGTCGCAATTACAAGCTTAACAGGGACACATGACTTATAATTGGCATTTTATTTTACCTTTTCTTGGTTGAGCACCGAAAGTTAGCCGACTCCCTATTTTCCCTCGATTTCTTCTCAATTTGAAGTGGGCTATCTCTCGGGGCATAACGGTAGGCTTGCACGTGCCGTCGTTTCTAGAAGCGCGAAAAATATGACTTTTCTTCAGAACCCCATCAAGCAATATTGGTAGTCGCCGTTCCTTGGGCACGAAGAGTGTGATTCGTGTCCAACACAAGCTCAGAACGCGTGCCCGAATAATGGCAATATCGGATAATTGGCGCAGCAGCCACTAGATGACTCGACATTGTGAAAAGGGTATATTCCGCAGGCAGCCACCCCGGCCGCCCGCTTCGGCGTGACCTACTTACGACGCAACCAAGAGACGCGCAATGCGCGGCGTTGCTCGTCCGGCCGAGAAGCTGTCAAGGACGAGCGAAGCAAACAGGGTCAATAACCTCTTGCTCAACGTTCCCCGTGGAAGTTGTATTCCAGCATCGTGTGGGATGTTCATTTGCATTTTGTCCTTGCGGGAAAAAAACTAAGCCACTACAGTCAGCTTCCTTGTACGGAAGAGTTGGACCATCGGGCTCAGCTCGGGCGAGTAAATGGAAGGATGACGTACAGAGGGTTGGAGAAGGAGAAGCACGCCGAGGAATGTGCGAGGAGGAACCCATTGAAAGTGATTGCCGGTTGCTTTCGTGTCCGAGAGGCAAGGATTGCGAAAACGTTCCCCCAGTCTCGCGCGGTCTCGGATAAGGCGCATTGCGAAGCTTGGCGAAGGCCTAGGAATCGACTGCGCGCCGACAACTCGTGGGAGGCTTCGACAGTCTGTCGCAGAGGTGAGTGACGGTGTTTTTCGATCGTAGTAAACTTTGAGTTTACAGCAGACGTTCGGTGTTGGTAGATGACTTGTCGCCGATGAGGTTTTGTGTAGGCTTTAAATCGTCGCAAACTATAAGAAACGTAACCAACAAGATGAGTAAACGCAAACTGCCGAGGCGACACGCTTAAAATACCAAGGCCAGGAAAACTATAACTTGGAAGCAACACCTACTACGAGAGCAACAAATATGAACTGAATTAGGGTGGCGATACGGGCTAGTTGGTTCATGCTTACTAAATTCGACACAGCGCACAATAACGAAGACATAGTAGAAGTATAGTAGTAGAAAGGTGTACGCTTGTCCTGTGTGCAACCTTCTAACTTTGTCTTCGTTGTGTGGCGCGTTGTCGAATCCGCAACAATTATGCTGTAGGCGCACGGGCACGAGCTTGCAGTCGCGAAACGGAAGCAGACCGTTTCCAACACTCGTTGGGTAAGAGCCAAAACACACTTTGAAAGCAACAAGCTGCAGGGCAGCGTTCGACAACATTAGCTCTTTCGTGTCATCAAAAAGGGAAATTAATACAAAACATACTTCTAAAATTGTCAAATCGTTTGTCCAATTAAAAAAAAATTATGCGCACCTATCATTAAATGCGACAAAATTTCTTTCGCCAGTCGATCTCTCCCCCCCTTCCTTTCTCGGGAAAATTCTGCTCTGTAACACGAAACAAATGCGCATGCGCAGTAGAGTGGTATGTGGATCAACTAAGAAGACAGAATTCTGAAGGTCACCCTGGAGCATACCTTTACAGTACTCAATAAAAATAATCAGATTTCTTGTAACCGATTACTTTTTGAAGTCATTTTGTAATCATTTGATTACAGTTATTAGGCAGCAGCCAGGTTACTTTTAATTCAATTGATAAAGTCGACAGTCGCTCGGAGGTTTTAATTGCAACTTTTTTTTTTACCTCATGGTACGTAGAATGCGCACGACGACCGGGTAGTTTTTGTAATTATGAGCGACATTGGAGACTGATTGAGTTCGGTCGTTTTACACCGCATATCGATGAGTTCAGTGTTTCAAAGTATTTTCTCAACTTCACTGGCCATAAAATTAGCTTCTCGGGGATTCTATAATGTATTGATGATTAAAGACGTGCAATACACTTCTTATTACTTTCCAAATATGTCGAGTACTGTATATCACTATCTCACGTAATTCGGGGGAAAAAAATAAAGCTGGTGACGTTTTAGTGGCCGGTTCTCAATAGGAGGTATTATTAAAATACAAACAAACAAAATCTGACGCAAGCATTTTTTTTATCGCTTTGTTTTCATCACCCGTGTTTCTGCAAAATTTTAGCCCTGCGCAAATCATTCATTAGAATTAATGTAACAGCCCTGGTGCCTGTTGAATTACGACAAGTCGGCCGGGAACGTTGCATTACGACTTGATCGCATATTATTGTGTCTGGAATTTAAGTGCCATAGCTACAGCTTTATGACGCCATGATATTTTTTTTTTCGTATTTCTCGTGTTGCAGTTTGGATCTCGCAAATTACAGCATGAGCGTCGGAGGGTACAGGGACGTCGAAGGTCTCTACCTCAGCCGCGTATTTCACGAGAAGGCAGTCCGTTCGGCCCTGTCCTACGAACCGCAACCGGACGACGTGTTCATCGTGTCCTACCCCAAGTGCGGCACGACATGGATGCAGTACATCGCCTACAGCATCTTCAACGACGGCGTCTGTCCGCAAGACATGATCAACTTCTTTAAGTCCGCGCCATTCCTCGAGTTCTTGGGCGCCGAAGGAGCCAAGAACATGCCCAGGCCGGGAGCTATCAAGACACACCTACCATTTGACAAGCAGCCCTACTCCGAACGCGCAAAATACATCTACGTCACCAGGAATCCTTATGACTGTTGCGTCTCCTTCTACTACCACACCAAGAACTTCCCGGCGTACGAGTTCGAGAACGGCACCTTCGACGAGTTTTTCGACTTATTTGTTCGAGGCAGGGTAGACTTCGGAGACTACTTCGATCACCTACTGTCGTGGTACGCACATCGGGAAGACCCCAACGTCTTGTTCGTCACCTACGAGGACCTCAAGAAAGACTCCAGGTCGTGGATTCTGAAGGTGGCCGACTTCGTTGGAGAAGACTACGGAAAAAAGCTCCGGGACCAACCCGCAGTCCTGGAACGAATTGTTTCGACGACAAGCCTGGAATCAATGAAAAGTCTCAACAAGGACATAAAGAACTGGACAGAGAGTGTGGATGGTGTGGAACCCCAAGACGTACCAGAATCTCTTCAACTGATGAAAGAGTCCCTCGGAGACCTTTGGAAGAAACCAGTGACTGGTGACTTTGTACGGAAGGGCATCGTCGGAGATTGGAGGAACCATTTTTCACCGAAACAGATCGAGCAGATGAAAGAGAGAATCGCTCTTAAAACAAAAGGAAGCGACGTGATGACTCTGTGGAATGACGTGGATCTCCCGTGACTATGGCCAATAAGAGATTATGTCACTTGCTTTTTTTTTTTCTCTTTTGTTCTAACAATTTGTATCGATTGATGTCGGGTCACAGCGTAACTCACTTCGATGTTGCTGGTGAAAATCGATGGATCACGGGAAAAAGCTGTTAAATATTACTTCTAAAAACTGGAGCCAGCTCATTGCTTAAAGCCGTTTACCACTTTCGAGTGTCTCGTTCAATAAAGGAAGGAAACCCAAACATGAAATCATAATGTTTAGTGAGTCGCCTTTTCTAAATCGTGCTTTAATGTCTTCCGTATCATCTTTTCTTTTTTTGCTTAATCAATTGGTTTGGTCGTTGTTCTTAAATTTTTTTGATGACTAGCTCAAGCCCCCTGATAATGTACAACCTCTTTTGCAAGTACCGACTGGAAACCTCAAAATTCAACTGGAGTTTTGTGTAGAAACATTTCTTCAAAGCCTGGGAAAACTAACTCTATTAGCAAAACCTCTTGTATACGCTTTAAACACGCCCCAGATTGAGCCGCCATCGCCTACGTTCTCTTGTCTTACCGAGGTACCGACTCACAGAAGCGGGCGTTGACGAGCCTCCACAAAAGCCTATACGAGGAGAAGGACACAGTAGCACGTTAAGTGGCAAAAAATCTGTCCTGCTGTGGTAATGATGAAGTGAGGCGAACGGGAATAAGGAGAAGCAAGAACTGAAGGTTGGTTATAGCGGCGCCCATGCACAGCTGCCTGAACGCGTCTATCCCTTCCAGAGGCTTCTAGGCGGTGCGGCTGCAATAGCTGAACTTTTATGATTGAAACTCTTTATGGCTGTCAATATGGATGACGTGCAAATGGAACGTCGACGTGTTCAGGTAAGATCATAATCATCAGTCGGATGAAGTTTTTTTTTCTTTCTTTTTTTATGGTATACTCCCCCTTTCGCGAAGGAAACGTAATTAAAAATATAAAAGTACTTGTTGTTAGGCTAGTTGGTGATTAACGTTTCGAATTATGGTTAAGAGCGCTAAAAAGACGAACACAAGAGAGAATACAAACACGGGCGCTTTTGTTTTGAACCATGGTCAAAAGCGCCCGTGTTCGTTGTCTCTCTTGTGTCCGTTTTTTTTTTTTTTTTTTTTTTTTTTTTAATTATAGTTTAAATCAGAAATATGTTTACAAGAAAAAAGATTTCAGGGGAAAAAAGTTATGATTGCGCCAAACGACAGGTTACGTGTCTTGGCCTGCAGGGGTTATCAAACGTTACGTGTCTTGGCCTGCAGGGGTTATCCCCGGGGGCGGCAGTAGTGAAAAGATATGTAAATGACATTTAATATGCACGTTTACGGAACCATAGAAGGTGTGATAAGGTAAACGGCTCCAGAATTTAAGTTTACAGTGGAAAAACCGGAGGATGATGTTCTGCAGTTTTCTCGATTTACGTATTCACGTGAATCGAGGGTTATGTTGGGAATATGGTAAAGAAAATTCGAAACCGGTTTTGCCAAGAATGAGTTGTTAATCGAAGACCGTAAAGGCGGGGATTGTAAAATCATTGGTCACGAACGCGTTAGAAAGGTCACGTGTTCATTTCATCACTGAATCAGTACAAAGGCAGTGGAAAAGGTTGATTAGTGTAGGTTATGATGAAAGTTTTATAAAACGGCAATCAGATTTGGTTATTAAAGGCAGGAGAGAAACCGAACAGAAATCAGGGAACCGCTTTGTTGTAATCCCATATTTTCATGACGTCTCTCACAACCTGAAGGCATGTGCGAGGCAGTTTGGAGTGGACACGGTCTTTAGTTCAGATTTTAGATTAAGTAAACTGACGCCATTACAAACAGGTCTGAGTGAGTGCAAAAAGGCCCATCGGGAAAAATCAATATGTTGCGAGACTGGTGTTGAGTATGAGATACCACTGGAGTGTGGATTTAAGTATGTAGGACAGACGTCACGCTGCATAAATGGCAGATTAAACGAACATAACAGAAATGTAATGAACAATGCACAAAACTCGGAAATAGCAAAACATATTCATGAACGTAACTGCACGGCGCTCTGGTCGGAGACGGAAATACTACACAAAGAGAGGAACGATGTAAAGAGAGTAGTAAGGGAGACCGTGCGGATAAAGTTTCTAGGCAACTGCCTAAATCAGGCTTCACTACAGTCTGAAAGCAATTAAAGGGACGATGCAACGATTTTTGTATTTTGCGCAAATACCGCTTAGAACGGATCCCTGATGTTAATGACCTGTGAAATACCCGTTCGTTTTTCACCACACGCAATCGAAGTCGCATAAAAAAATTAAGAAAAACGAGCAGAGTTCACCCCCTCAACTCGTAGCCAGAACGAGCGGCCACGTGATCTGGAGCCGATTATATGCCGCCAATGTTGATCATAGCCACGAGCTGGGGTTGGCAAGGCACAGGACACGTGCTGAGTTCCAGACATTGTTATGGTTCGGCTGTTGTCGTCATTGCAGCAATTGGGCACAGGACACTACCCGAATGCTTCTCGAGCTATCGATTATCACGAGACCAAATCGAGTGTCCACGCCATGCTCGGGTCCAATCTGTGAGCCGCATTCAGATATCGTCACTGGGCGGTACTGCTACCGCCCAGCTACGTCATCAGGTTTTGCGAAGGAGAGATAGAATGAAAACACTCGGTTTTGTCCTCGAAATTACAGAAAAACAAAAGTTTCTTGGCCAGTGGCGTTGCGTGCGAGTATCCTTGAGTCCCACTAGTGCCAGTAAGCTCACATAAAGTGAAAAACATTACAATTGAATATCGTTGCACCGCCCCTTTAAAAAAGCTTGCTAAAAATGCATTTTTTTTAATTTATATCTATATATATATATATTTTTTTTTTTTTTTTTTTGCGATTTAGGTTGTTTGAAGTGCGACCTGCTTGTGACTTTCCAAAAAACCTGTAAAACATTTTTGCTTTGTGTGGTTCTCTACGTGTATTGGCCCAACTACCGTTTCAGTATTTTTTTAATTATTATTATGTGGAGAGGGCGTGTGATGTTTCAAAATAATGAACTGTTTTTTAGAATAGTAGGGGAAGAGATCCTTTTGTTCAAATTTGAAGGTGGATGGATGTTGCCTTATCGCGTCAACCTTTAAAGGGATACGGAATCGAAACTTGAAATATAGAGAAAACATCAAGAAATGAGTTCAATATGATCAGCTAAGCCTGTAATGAATAATCGCACGGTCGTATTTTGAGCAGATGGCTATATTTTATGCTCTAAATGCCGCGATTTTGGCGAGCGCTTCAAAATCAGCCATGGAGGAGCGCGATGCATCTCGGGAGATCCGGCAGACGTCTTGACGTCATCATGCCTCGGACGACCAAGCGTACCGTAGTGACGAGTTTTGCCACTTGGAGGCGTCAACGCGTTACAATCTCGCTTTGTCGAAGTACCCAAGGGCTGTAGATATCGCGGGGCCAGCACGCGCACCAAACCTGAGAACAATCGAAGCACGCGTTTGCACGTCGCGCGAGAGCTGAAACCAAGGTGGCTCACTTCGTTTTGGCTCTTTCCACCAAGACGCCTCGGTATTGCGTTCAGGCCTAGGCAATCTATACCAGTGAGCGGACATACCGCTGCGGCGCTGCTTTCAGAGGCATGTTGTCGTCACGACATTCCATTGAAGCTTCATAACCAACTACCAGGTGGTTTTTGATTATCGTTTAATTCACTTTAAAATATGTTTTCTTGCGTTTTCTAGCGCAATATTTATGTTTCTGTGGTTGTGCTGCTACCTGCGTCGTGTTGAAACAAAGAAATGAGCTCCAGAATTTGGTTTCCGTACCCCTTTAAAGGTTGTCAACGTTCTTGCATTGTGTGATGAAGACTGTGGCGCTTGAACTGTATAGACTTCGTGCTTCAGTGTTGGTGGGGATGACCTTGAGATTGAGACTATACACTCCGTGCGGGAACTATAGGGGGCGCTTTGAAAAACGCGCGTAGCGCCACTAGCGGAGGAGCTGGCGTTCGACAGCGAGGCGCGCTCAGCAGCCTGCGGCGCCTTTTCGCGTGCGAAGCTGTGGCGGCGGAAGCGCGCACGGGCGGAACTTTTGCTTTTTAAGCCGATAAGTTGAGGATGACGTTGCATGAGTGCTGGGGCAGATTTAAGAAGGGCATTTAGTATTTCTCCGCTTCTTATATATTAAGTTTGAATCGTCAATAGGGATAATTTCTCTAGTTGCGGTCGAAAAAGGGGTTTGGGCAATTTTCCGAAAAGCAAGATGGCCGCCACCGTATTTGCTCTCAGTGGGAAATTTGTTTCGCTCGTCGCTGTAAAGTTGGTGAGTCGATGATATTTGGAGGCGAGTGAGATGTTCACTAAATTCGTGCACTAAATGGGTCAAGTTTTATTGACAGCAAGTGTGAAAGTTATGGTTCGAACGAATAAAGTAATAAAGCTGTCAGGAATATCCCATAATGGACCCAAAATGTTGTGTTATAACCGGGCAGTGCGAAGTGCAGATTTAGACACGCAGGTTCTTGGACATGACCGTAACTTGACACAACAGTTATAATAGCAAAAATAGGTGGCATAGGGAAACCAGGTGGAAATTTGGTTTGGGCGGCGTAACTGAATGGGAAACGGTTTTGACTGTGAAAAGGCTGTCAAGAGAATACCACTTGTCGTGGGAGATGGAGACTTTACAGGTAGGAAGGGACTAGTGCACTGTACTTCACTTGAAACAACTTTACGGAAGGTGGCTTCCAAACCGAGAAAACCAAGTTGCCGGCCAACACACGGTTTGGCCGTCAAAGGCTTTTGCGGTGAGCTGTTATGTAGTAATCTGGTTGTGCGAGGTACTGATTTTCGGCACACAGGTACTTGGACAACTGTAACTTGACAAAACACTTATTATACCTAAAAGAGATGGCATAGTTCAACCAGGTGGAAATATTTTTGGCCGGCGTAACTAAATGGGAACCGTTTTTGACCGTCAAATGCTGCCAAGAGAATACCACTCATCATGGCCGGAAGGTGCACACTTTACAGGTAGGAAGGGACCAGTGGGACGGTACTTCCAGTTTGAACAACTTTGCGATAGGTGCTCTAAAGCCGAAAAAAAAAATTGTTGTCTTCAAGACTCGGGGTGTCAGCGTTTCCACATCCAAAAGGAGGCTGATCAAAAAAGAAAGCACACCACATAAACTTTCATTGTCAAACATCGATTGTCCAGAGATTCCAAGTTTCATTGTAGTTTTCCTCAGATTCATATTTGTCA